GTATCATCCTCAAACCGGCTCCACAACTGATGTTTTAATTTTCCTGCCAGGAAAAAGATCTTCCAGTTGGAGTTACTCATTCTGATTCTTCCTTCAGTGACTCAGAACTCGACCGAAGGTAATGGCCATGAAGTAGACTCCTTGGGTATTAGAGAAGAGACTAAGCAGTGGCCAGGAAGGCGGAGGGGCTAATTTCCCAGGTTAGCCAGTGTCTCCGGAAAAGGCCTTTGCTTGTCCACCTTGGGAGACAGAGGGGGTTGGACCCGATTATTGGCGCCAAGTAACAAATCTGTCCTCTTACTGACATAACATGATTACAGTACACAAAGGTGTTCTACTTTAGAAAAGGAATCACAGAATACTATGTACAATTAAAAACACTGGGGAAAAAACAACAGAGAAAAACTACACATGACTTAAGCATGTATTATTGAATGCCAGGATAAATGAGCCCAAAGATCACACCACCAGTTTCTCCAGGACTATGTGGAATAAAGTAACAGCATGGTTAATTAGCAAAGGTCAGAAACCTAATTAAATATCAAAGATTAAGTGGAGTGTGCGACTCCTGATCTCAGAGCTGTGAGTTCAACCCCCAGGTTGGGTGTAGAGATTCCTTTAAAAAAAAAAAAAAAAAAAGAAAGTAAAAGTAAATGGAGAGAACAGTCAAAAAAGATTCCTGGCCGTTTCCAGGGCTCCCTGTGCCAACTGTGATACCTTAGTGTTCTTAATGAGAAGCCAGGAAAAAAGTAGACAACTTGATGACTGAAAACAAGGAGGACTCAAAAACGGGAGAGAAATCCAAGGGCAAGAAAGTCAGCCTCAGCTGTTACTGGGGAAAACAGTAGGGTGCTCCTATATGGTGCCCTAACCTGGATGGGCATCACTGTACTACATCACACGTGAGCAAGGCATAGTCTATCCCAAGCCTATAGGGAGATAAACCTCCAGATTTAGATGCACTCATCCAAGAGATTTTAGAAAACATGCACGAGATCATCTGAGTTAGAAGTCAAAGCTGTTACCACATTGCCAAGATGAGAAGAGAAACCCCGTAACGAACCCCCCTAAGTAGTGAACCCAAGGCCACTCTAGCCCAGGAGTGTCACAGGGCTAAGCTACATCCCTGCCTGCCTTCTCATCCCACCTCCCCAGTCAAGGTCCCTACACCATTACACGAATGCCACCGATTTTTATATATAAAGGTGTTGGGAGAAAAGCAGTCTATCCCAATTTTTTAGTTTTAAGTAGCCTACACCAAATTGAACCTCTAACTGCCCCAATTTCAGTCCGTGGAGAGAAAACATGGACCAGGGTGGGGCATTTCCAATACAAACTTGGTACAGCTACACTGGTGTTTTACCAGCTCTATGTAAGTAGGTGGGACCAGAGAGCACTGAACAGGATTCCATTTCAGGAAGGGAAAGGCTCAGCAACATGATCTAGTTGAACGAAGATTAAACATCTGAGGTCTACCAGGCATGATGCTTAATCCCTGGGAGCCTAGAGACAGGCCTACGAACAAAGACATACAGCTCCGTGTGCCGAGAACAAGGGAGTAGACGTAAGAGAAAGTAGCATCTAAGGGAGGGATCTGCCTTATCTGGAAAGACCAAGAACGATAAATAGGAGACTGCCAGGTACACAAAATAAAGAAGAAAAGTGACAAAAGAAGGGCATTGCAGGCAGTGGGCACATGCCTGAAATACCATTTGAAAATAGACACATGGCGAGGACTGCTGGGCTGGACGGGCAGTCAGACTAGAAGTAACCAGGAGTGCAAACATAAAAGGCCCCGACTGGCCAAACTAAGGAGCTTGGATTCTCTTACACAGTTGATCCCAAAAGTTCACCTTGGTGGTCATGTGAAGACCGGGCAGAGACTCCCGGCGAGATTACCTCAGCAAAGCACAGTGAAGGCCAAGCAGAGGCTGCGGCTCGTTGCCCTGACGTTAAGAGTTCGTAAGCAAGGATAAAACGACTTGCTTTAGAGCCCTGCTCTGGGGGATAGCGTGGAAAACACCGAGTACTGGATCAATCACTCTCCCTTCCCTCTTTTTCTCATTCAGCATCACATTGCACTTCAGAATTTCCTGTCCAGCTTCGCCTGCTTTCAACTATTCACAGAGCCCAGTGTTCATGGTGCCACAGGTGAAGATAGAGATGGAGTCTGACTGTGACCTCACAGACGTGGACAAATACGGAAGAGAGACTGACAGCGAGACCACCCTCTAGGATGCAGCTGCCCCTGGACAGGGCTTCATCTTCACTGTGGGAGGACACGGTTGCATCTTCACTGTGAGGCCTGGGTCAGGCCCCTGAACTTCTTCTCTGAGCCGGTTTCCCTATTTGCTGAGCAGACGGAGTCATTCCACTTGCTAGGAAACTGATCTATGGGTGAAAAGTACTTCTTACGTGCAAAGCTGTCTCCTTCTTTCTGTAGTTATAAAAAAACAACCAATATAAACATAATACCTTATTTTAAAATGCAGTCCAGGATAGGAATTATAACATTTCTTGAAATGAAAACGATGTTTGCCTCCCAAAATATAGCTAAGATAAAGGGAGCAATAGTAAATTTTTATTGAAACAAATACCAGTTAGATTTTTTTTAAGCTTAGATTTTAAAGTATCTGGAAGGTCTTGAAAAAAACCATTAAAATGCTCATACTTCAACAGACCAAAGTTGGAAAATTTGTTCTGCAACTTGACACACTAAGAAACACATAAAATGCCCTATCTCGTCTTCCCATCTCATGCAGCTTTCTAAAGCTCCTACGACAAGTCTGCGCCATCTGCATGGGCTCTAGGCCCAGGGCCAGGACGGAAGTGTGACTAGAGCTTCTCCAGATTGAAAAGCCAGTGCCCAAAGTCTACCAATGGAAAACCAACGCATGAGAGCGGGCAAATGTTTTCAAAATAAAATTGTTCTAGTTAAAATGAAACTCCCAACCACATTACGTCCACAAAATGATCCTTTAAATTAGTATCACTGGTTTTTCACAACCAGAATAAGACTTCTTTCTACTCTCGGGTTGGTCCTTCCTCCAAGTTTCCAATGACCTTGCTCCCAAAGTCAAACTCCCATCCACAGGACCATTGCATGTTAGGCAGTGCTAATGTAAAATATTAGATTATAACTTTGCAGTATTAGATTAGTACTTTAAGGGCGCCTGGGTGGCTCAGTGGTTAAAGCCTCTGCCTTCAGCTCAGGTCATGATCCCAGGGTCCTGAGATCGAGCCCCGCATTGGGCTCTCTGCTCCACGGAGAGCCTGCTTCCTCCTCTCTCTCTGCCTACTTGTAATCTCTGTCTTGCAGAGTCTGTCTGTCAAATAAATAAATAAAATCTTTAAAAAAAAAAAAAAAGATTAGTACTTTAAAGGAATGATTGGAAGTTGGATAGATTAATAAGTCATTAATAAGGAAGCAAACCTTGTCCTCACGAAACTTATCAGTCTATCTTTAATCCCCACTTAACACCAACCTTGTTTATTTAACACCCACTATGTGCCTGACAGCCACAGTGCAGCTGACATTTACTTTCTCCGAAACTACTACGGATTTCAATCTTGAGGAAATCACTTTGGTTAGTTACTACATTTACTCACCGTGACCAAAGCAGGTGCTTTTCTTCTTCACTCTTTTCTGTTTTTTAAAGACAAACGATACTAGATGAATAACACTGTGAGTATGAGGACAGCCAATTGCGCCTGCAATCCTCAGAGCTTCATACAGTGCCTGGTCCCTAGAAAACTGTGTTAAGTTAAATCTCAGAGCTCCCTTCTAAGGGATACTGTCAAGAGATAAAGCCCTACACCTCTCCTGCTTGTACTGATCGCAGCAAAATGACTTAGCTGCTCTCCAACCCAGAACCATCACTTGAATTTAAGGATAAATTCTGTATCTTCAGCTGCACCAATCCTGGAAGATCTAACAATTGACCCTTAACATTTCAGTTTTAAAAGTTGGTAGATTTCCAATAGTACTTTGTCCAAATTAAACTGTAGAAATGTTATGGATTCAGAATAAATGTGCTTGATTAATCAAACAAGCTGGAAACTACAATGTTAATTTTGTTGTTGTTGTAAATTGATCACTGTAATTTTCACCTTATATGTCATTTATATTTTGTATATACATGAACATTTTAATTTTGACAGCTCTTAACAGGTTGACATATTGTTACTTCTCCATGTCGTAGGTCAGAACTTCTTTCCACTTGTAATTATAATTCAATAAAACTTAATCTTGTCTGCTCATCTTGCTCCATGTTTAATAATTTAGTCAGCAAACATGGGATATGGACATGAGCTGAATCTCGCTTACAAAAACATCTCCAGCAAACTATCCTCTTTCATACCCAGGAAACTATCAAAAGAGTAAAGTCAGCTCCCCATTGTTCTTTTCTTTCCACCTCAAGCTGCCTGGAGCAGGAGGATCTGTCTATCCAAATTACATCCCTGCCTGCCTTCTCATCCCATCTCCCCAAAATACTCAGCCCTGGTAGAGAAGAGAGAATACACAGGGACCTATCCCAGCCTCAAACTGTGCCCAGCAAATACCTTCCAATCTGTCAAATCAAACACACACATTGAAAAAGAAAAAAAAATTGTATAGAAAGCAGGGAGCAGGGCGTCTGAAGGGGGGTTGTCAGCAGGCACGTCAAGAAGTCCTCTGTAAATCTAACAATGTGTAAATTCAACTTCATGGTTTAGAAAACACCCGGAATAAGCCTAACCGCTTAAATGAATCTTGCAGATTAAGCCCCAGCTTGGCACAGACTGAAAGGACTAGACTGGTTTCTCCACAGCACTTTGTTTAAGGCATAGGATTAGGGGTTACCAAATATAGGAATACTGACATCTGTTACATCCAACCAGAAAGATTAACTATGATTAGATCAAAACTAGAACAGAGGCGGGAAGATACGGTATTTTGCAGAACTCATTCCACACCAGTCAGAAGTGTTTTATTTAAAAAAAAAGAAAAAAAAAAAGGCGCAAAACAAACAAAAAACCCTTTTAATCAGAAAGTCTGATTAAATTCAATATGAACTCAAGTTCTCAAAAACCCATTGGGGAAAGCCAACAGGTACATCAGCGAAAAAGCAGGCAGCTGCTAACAAGTCTTTGGTGGAAAATAAGTTGCATACTTAAACAGGCTGCCCTAATCCTAATGATTATCAAGCCCAAGTTTTGTTTTTCAAAAATAGGTTTCAAGATATCCCGAGGAAACCAATACAGACACCCCCAAGAATACAAAGGTGTAACAGTGAATTTTAAGGATAGAGGAAAAGCCAAATACGACAACACATAAATAATCTATAAAATAAGTCTTTCAACCTTAGAGGAACATGGGAAAGCCTCATGAATATAACACACATGGGATGAGGACTGACAGCACGTGGAACTACCCTAAATATTTTCCCAATGACTAAGCCACGGAATGACAACTCAGGACACCATTCACATGGAGTTTTACATACTATAGGTATGTAAATTACAGTAATTTTTTTTCTACTCAATTATCATTTCTTCCTTTGACTTTTCCCTAATTTCCCTAATTTTCTCTAGCAACATTTTTCCTTTGGTTTGACTAGTTGAACTCAAAAGGTTTGGAACCTAAAGTGAGTATCAACTCTTATTGGAATAGCACTTGGGAAATGCAATCCTAGAAAAGGCAAATTTTAACTGAAGTGGCCTGACAAAGTTAAGCGCCCGATCTTACCGGGGCGATGTCCTCCCTGTTTGTCACCAGGTGAAGTGCTTCTCTTGGCCGGCTCAGACGACCTAGCTGGGGGCCGGCTTGCTCCGTGGTGAGGTACGGCAGAGCCACACACACAGACGCCCACCCAGTTCAGCTTTCAATAAATACAAAGCATCATTTTAAACCATTTCAGTAAAATAAATAAAAAATATTGCATTTCTATTGGCCTGTTTTGCCTCTTGGACTGGATTGGAGTGATGTTTGTGACAGAAGACGCAACAGTTAACTAGTTGCTACTCCACGCTCCTTAGGCTTCAATACTTCCTGATCTTCAAGCCTCAGCACCTTCTTTGCAGCAATAATGGTATTCTTCATCAGCATTGCCACAGTCATGGGACCAACACCGCCCGGGACTGGAGTGATATAACCAGCTTTCTTTCTGACTCCTACATAGAAACAAGATGGGTATGCTCGGTCTTAATTCTGGCAAAGGAAATGTATGCATCTTAACGTACCATGGAAGAAGCATCCAAAGAAAAACCAAGAATATACATAAGCACCTTCATAAGCCTCAAACTCATTAAAAAGTAAGTCATATCTATATCACTTAGGAGTAAAGGCTTTCGAATATACTAAAAAAAGAACATTCATGTAATAAGAGTTGTTCAATGAATATTTATACATCTAAATGACCTATAATTTACCCTCCAAACTTTTCCTTCATATTAAATCAGTTTAGGGGGCGCCTGGGTGGCTCAGTGGGTTAAAGCCTCTGCCTTCGGCTCAGGTCATGATCTCAGGGTCCTGGGATTGAGCCACACATCGGGCTCTCTGCTCAGCAGGGATCCTGCTTCCTCCCTCTCTGCCTGCCTCTCTGCCTACTTGTGATCTCTGTCAAATAAATTAAATCAGTTTAGAAAGAAAAACCTCAAGGAGTTAACTATATGTGAGATATAACTATAATTATTATATTATTAATATTAACATATTACCAATTAATACCTACCTACAACATTTTCTTACTTTTACTCTCTTATTTCTATTATTTGACTATATTTATTTAACTATACTGTTTGCCCAAGCACCAAAGCAAAGTAATTTTCTGGAAAGTGAGAAGTAAGATTTTTTCTAACCTAATCTTAAAGGAAAAATACTTAGATACTTAGGCTTGTGTCTGGTTGCTTTATTAGAAATAGAAAACTAGAAATGAGTTTACCCACCTAAAATTGAGATAAACATGATAGCTTAAGAACTGAAAGGAGAAACCTACTAGTATATTTCAAAATCCAGGAACGTGGCTCTTTCCTGGATCATTTTTAACATGCCAGGTCTGTGATCTTTCCCCTCAATGTGAAAACAATAAATCTGTAACACCTTCTAGGAGACTCAGTGGTTTCAGAAAGTCAATTCATTAAATTTTCAGACTTGTTTAAAGTGATGAAGTCATTTGAATTATGAAGTAACCTTAAGGAAAGAGCAAACACCTCCATGAAAAGTTTATATCTGGTCCCCATAATTTTATGATATAAGCAACTAAAATGGTCCTAGAATAACTGTAATTTAAGTTTCTCTTAATTCACGTGGATTACATTTTGAATTACCACAGTAATTGTTTTTTTTTTTTCTTTTAATTTCTACCCCCAACGTGGGGCTCGAACTCACAACCCTGAGATCAAGAGACACATGCTCCACCAACTGAGCCACCCAGGTGCCCCAAGAGTAACATAAGTTAAAAGTAAATGATCTGTCCTAAATGTCCATTAAAGGTACTATTTACTGATTTTATATTTTAAGAAAATTATATCATTTACCTTCAAAATCCACATCTCCAACTAACTTGGGTTTAGCAGTGATGGGATCCTGAACTCTATTTATTCCCACATCGATGACTGCAGCTCCCTCCTTGATCATATCTGCTGTGATCAGATTTGGAATGCCTGCAAACCAGAGAGGAATGAAAGGAATGATCACTAGTCCTGAAAGGAAGATTCTACTTATCAGAGGCTTATCTGATTTCAGTTTTAAAAGACCTGGAAGAACTAATTAGCTTGTTTGATGAAAACCTGTAAAAACCACTAGCCAAGGAACCACTGAAACTTCATACAGTAAACAGACATATTCAGAGGTTTCTGAAGTAACATTCACCCATCAAGTCAAGATTGGAAAGCCAGAAACCAACGCCGCACACACGGTTCTCGCCTCATCTTTATGGGCCGCATACAGTATCACGGCTAGAAGAATGGTGAATGGGGTGGCAGGGAGGCAGGCAAATTCCAAGCAGTCGCTCTTCACCCTTCTGAGGTGAGGCCTCCCCCGCCTCCCTGGGGTTCTTACCTGCAGCGGACACCACGATGTCAGCAAGAACTGTATGTTTCTTCAGTTGCTCTTTGGGAGTGTGTCGATGAGATATTGTAACAGTGGCATCACCTAGGGATTAAAAAATACATGTCTTGATTTCTGAATCAAAACTGAGATTGGATTAGAACCAGGCAACCCATTTTAGAAATTCACCATCCCTGAAAAAGTAACTGACTTAATTCATGTACCATATTTTCTGGACAGCTAAGTACTAGTTACTTTTCAGCAATTAACACCATTTCTTTTTTTTTTTTTAATTTAAATTCGATCAATTAACAGAGTGTATTATTAGTTTCAGAAGTAGAGTTCAGTGATTTATCACTTATATATAACACCCAGTGCTCATTACAAGTGCCCTCCTTAATGCCCATCACCCAGTTACCCCATCTCCCCTTCCACCTCCTTTCCAACAACCTTCCGTTTGTTCTCTACAGTCAAGAAGTCTTTTATGGTTTGTGTCCCTCTCTGATTTCATCTTATTTTATTTTTGCTCCCGTTCCCTAGGATCCTGTTTTGTCTCTTAAATTCCACATGACTGAAATCTTATGATAAATTTCTTTCTCTGACTTATTTCACTTAGCATAATACCTTCTAGTTCCATCCACATGATTGCAAACAGTAAGATCTCTTTTTTTTTGATGGCTGAATAATAGTTCATTATATATATGTCACTTCTTCTTTACACATTCATCTGTCAATGGACATCTGGGCTCTTTCCATAGTTTGGCTATTGTGGACATTGGGGTGCAAGTGCCCCTTCAGATCACTATGTTTGTAACCTTTGGGTAAATACCCAGTTTCTTATAACTTTTATCCCCTCATCCTAACTCTACCCTTTGGGATCATTTAAAATTAAATTTATTTATTCCTTATCCTATTCAACAGTCTTCCATGAATTTTACCTTTCCTAAGCAAAATATCACTAGAATTATTCAAGGTTTAAAAAAATAAGTGTACTGAAAGGTATCTAAAAATACATAGTTTTGCCATTATTTCTGATATAATCATGTAAGGTCATGATAATCACATGTGATAACTGATTTCTGAGCTTTTTTCTCAAATTATCAGAACCTGAGATAATAACATTTTATAGTCTTATCAAGTCAATCCTTTGCAATGGTCTAAGATATTTTTCTATCAAATTATACAGGATGGGCTACTATGAACTGTTTCTTAGTTCCAACTATCAAAGCCATAACTGAAAACGTCTAATTGCCTACAACCATGCTTACACTCAAAACTCAAATATATTTGAGGTATGTCCATTTCTGTACTAGTTCCTAATAAATGAATATAAATAAAGTTTCAGGTGACAAGAGTTCAGCTTTTCCTACAAAGATTACTCCCCAAATATCTGCTAACAAAATTATAGCAAATACCAATACAAAGTTTAACAAACACAGGACACCTTCTGAAGGTTCCCATATAAGCGAGCAGGGAACACTCTTCTGAAGGCCATTTCCTTACCTCCAGGGCGTTCATGTGCCCCATCTGTGTGCAGCAGCATTGCAATGGGCATTCCAACATTTTTTGACCTCCCAGCCACAACCACATTCTTCCCTAGGGTTGGAATGCCTATGAAGAAATATATATATTTACATGAAAAGAGCGCTAGACTATGTTAGAAGGAGCACCAAAGAAGGCAGACAGAGGGCCTAGGACATGAATCTGACCATGATAAGCAAGGGAGTTACTAAGCCTCATCAGTCAAGGAGGTCCCATCACTTGCTACACATCCTAAAGGCTAAAAGAACATGAGGAAAAGGACCCTGGAAGCTACAAAATACTACATGAGTGTGCACTATCATCGCAAGGAAACCTTATGTTTCCTTTACAGAGGCTTCTGGATTAAATAGCAACAAAGTCAACACAGGCAAACAATCAAAACAGGCAACCGCAGGGAGAGGCGGGCTTCAGGGGCAGGACTGGAGGACGTGTGGCCCAAGTGTCCACTCTGCGACTGTAGGCACTGTTACCAGTGGCGAGTACTGGTTTCATGATACTAACACAGACATACAACTATGGGATATACCTACCAGTTCGCTTAATTATTTCCCAGACACCCCATGGCGTAGCCGGTAACATGGAGTACTGGTCCAGACACATTCTCCCTACATTAATTACGTGAAAGCCATCCACATCCTTGTCTGGGGAAACAGCATTGCAGATTTTCCGCTCGTCGATGTGCTCTGAAACAGAGAGCAGAGCAGCAGCCTGAAGTCAGTCGCATAGTTTGCACCGCCTGACACCAGCTTAGCTGGTTTATCACGCAAACCTGTTCCTCTTCCATGACTTGCCTCCGTGATTGACTTCTTCATCTGCACATCTGCACAGAAGGAACACACACCCAGCAAAGCCAAATGCCAATATCAAAGGCAGTATCCTCTTCTACAGCTGCTTCCCTCTGCTGCCATTTTGTATCAAGATCTCAACCCCAAGTCAAGGAGGAATTGGTATTCTGTGTAGGTCTATGCATACCTAATAAAATATTCACTACCCTGAGTTTACCTCCTCTTTAAGACAAACCCATAAGGGGCCGGGTGTATAAAGTAGCTAAGCATCCTCTACTCCTCAGAAATCATTCTAAGTGATAGAGTCCAAAACTCACCTGGAAGAGGCAGCTGAACAAGGAGGCCATCTACATCATCATCGTTATTTAGTTTATTGATTAAATTCAACAGTTCTTCCTCTGAAACTGAAGCTGGTTTCACAATTGTCTCACTGTTGATTCCTATGAGAAAATTCCAAGGTTAAAAAAGAAATCTCGGGGCACCTGGGTGGCTCAGTGGGTTAAGCCTCTGCCTTCCGCTCAGGTCATGATCCCAGGGTCTTGGGATCGGGCCCAGCATCGGGCTCTCTGCTCAGCAGGGAGCCTGCTCCCCGCCCCCCACCTCTCTCTGCCTGCTTGTGATCTCTGTCTGTCAAATAAATAAACAAAAATCTAAAAAGAAAAGAAAAAAGAAATCTCGAGCATTTAATGAGCAATGCTATGCTGCCTGCCATGGTACTATAACACAGAGGTTCTGTATCTGTGGTAGCTAAAGAGCCTGGATCAGTTCTCAAAGCACCCAGAAAAGTAACTTCACAAATATACATACTAGACAACGTTGGCTTGGCAATTAGCTACATTTTTCTACACTATCCTCCTGAACCTCAATTTAGACAAGAAGACAGAGGCTCAGCAAAATTGAAACACAAGCCACATAGTGATGAAGGTGGTCCTTCCAGTTCTGGAGTCCATGTCCTTTCCACTGCTCTGTGCTTCCTCCCAGTGTCTTAAAAAGCCACAGCGTGCCATTTTCAAAGGTTCTAAAGCTTTTTCAAAGAAAAAGGCCTCAATCCTCAGTGATACCAAGGACTCATGGTCTGGTCAATGGCCCAGCCACCCCCAAGTGGTTTCACAGCCTTTCCGAAGGGAAGGGCATCAAGGACTCATAGAGGCAGAGCCAAGCCCACCTACCCCAGTTCTACCATCAGAGAGTCTGTGGTATAGCAAGACCTTGAACACGAACCTCCCATCACCTAGAACCTCAGTTTCTGCATTCCAAACTCTAACCACTGCATGATTTTTTTTTAAGATGTATTTTTATTTATTTTAAAGACAGAGCATGCAAGCAGGGGGAGGGGCAGAGGGAGAGAGAGAGAGAGAGAGAGAGAGAGAAAATCCTCAAGTCGACTCCCTGCTGAATGTAGAGCCTGATGTGGGGCTCAATCCCAGGACCCTGAGACCATGACCTGAGCTGAAATCAAGAGTTAGCCACTTAACCAACTGAGCCACTTAGTTGCCTCCCTCTGCACAATTCAATTGGCTTTGGACCCAGTTGGTAAAGAAGCCAAAAGCTATTTCCCAGAAGTCAGAGTCATTTCCTTCAAACCTAGGTGTTCTAGGCCATATCACTGAGACCTCCTCACCAAATCTCAAACATCTCAGCCAGACTCTCATTACTACTCAAGGAAAGCAAATGTAAACCACGTTCAAGGTCACTTACCCAATGTTCAGACTAAAGACAGAATTCAGCTTATATTCCAGAAGACACGGCGTGTACCAACCACCCCCATTCTAGTCTATAAGCCTCCCCAACAGATAGGCCTGATTTCTTTATGACCACATTCTGCAAACAGTTCAATCCCATCAGCCTCCTGTGCTTGAGCCTTCTGGTTAGAAAAAAAGAATCACGACTGCCAACGGAGTTTGTCTCAGATAAGCTGCAATCTGACAGCAGTCAGGTCTGCGAGTGACACATACCCACTTCGGGTCTGTGAGTGACACATACCCACTTCCGCAGCTGCCCGGGTCTTGTTGAGGACGTAGGAGTGACTTGCAGGATTCTCGCCCACCAGCACCACGCTCAGGTGCGGCCGCTTGTTGCCCGACGCCACCCATTCTTCCACCTCCTGCCGCACTTCCTGCTTGATCTGCTGGGCAAGTTTCCTTCCAGAGATGACGACAGCTTCATTTCTGCAGAAGGCAACCACAGTCACGACACCAAAAAGCTTACACTTTTGTGAAAAGTAAAAATTGGACTACAAAAAAAAAAAAAAAAAAAAAGTTATTAAATATCCCAAACTTAAAGAGTAGATTAAAACGCATGGTGCCTAAATTGAGGGTCAACGGAAATCTGAAGGGCAGTTTCAAAGTGGTTAATCTGTGTCCAGCCACATGTTTAGGAAGATAAAGTTGACTGAAACAGTTACTATCATTACTCTGAAGCGTGGAGAGGGTGAGTGCCAGCTAGTACTTGGCAAAGCGGGCTCTCCTATCCAGCTGTCTGACTCCAGAATCCAGGCTCTCACCGCTACACCATCCTGCCCCCTGATCATTGACACATTGATAGACCCCCCCAAAAAAAGTTTTCCATTGTTTTAATTTGCATTGTTTTATTTGACCTGTCACCACTATGAGGTTAGTGTTTCCTATGTGCTTATATACAGTTTTGTAGTTTGTGTTTTCCTGTGTTATTAGCATCCAGCCATATATTTCGAACCATTTCCCAGTTAAATCGATTGGCTTTTAATTTCTATGTGCTTCTAAATATATAAATTATGTTATGCAATTAAACCAACAGACTATGTTCTGGACAGGTCAGACCTCAAAATTACCATTGCTCCTCATAGCCCTCCTGGAGAAGACATTCCCAGTAAGAAGAAGGAGTTTCCATCCCATGGGTGGCCGTGTGCTCTACACCAGGACCCCAGTGACCCGCCCACATCTGACAGACCAGGAGTGAGTATCTGCCGCTAGGACAATTTCTAGGCTGGCCAGCGGTCCAGCTGATGTATAAGCTCAGTGCCACAGGGGCAGTGGTAGTTAACCAGACTGGGAAGAGCTTCTCCCTGAAACATATTCACACACTAGAACCATAGAGGACCTGCTGGTGGGAGGAGCAGAAGAAAGACTCAGATAAGAGTCTTTCTCAGAAAAAAGTAGAGACAGAACAGTGACACCCAAAGTAGGACAGAGCAAGAGATGAGGAAACTGCTACTGATGGGGCAACGAGAAAAGTCAGGGTCTAGAAGAACCTCCAGTTCCCAAAACCATGTTCTGATCCCTGAAAGACCACTTCTTCCCCATAAGGACTGTTTATGCAGCTCTTCCTGGGTTCTAATGTGGAACATTCCTGGTTTTCTTATTTCCATATATGTCCTTATAATAAAGTTCCCAATACTTTTTTTATTTTTATTTATTTATTTTTTTAAGTTCCCAATACTTAATGTAGGATGAGCATCTGCTCTTTAAGCATAAAGGTCTCAGTGGAAATGTCTTTCCCTTTCGTTTTCTTTCTGTCCCCACTATCATGAAGAATTCTTCAACCTCAAGACCAAGGAGACACACAATTATATGAAATATTGAAAAAAATTTCCCCTTATAGAACATATTTAATCCTCAGGGATAACACCAAGATACTGGTTATCTTGTATGGTCAGATATGATTCATTCTTTTTTTTTTTTTTTAAGATTTTATTTTTAAGTAATCTCTATGCTCAACATGGGGCTTGAACTTACAACCCCGTGATCAGCAGCTAGACGCTCCTCCTACTGAGCCAGCCAGGTGCCCCAGGTATGATTCATTCTTAAGACCACTGCCGGGGTGCCTGCGTGGCTCAGTGGGTTAAAGCCTCTGCCTTCGGTTCAGGTCATGATCCCAGAGTCCTGGGATCGAGCCCCGCATCAGGTTCTCTGCTCAGCGGAGAGCTTGCTTCCCACCCCCCCTCTGCCTGCCTCTCTGCCTACTTGTGATCTCTCTCTGTCAAATAAATAAAATCTTTAAAAAAAAAAAAAAAAGACCACTGTTAATTAAAATGGAATTTTAAAGCTTCAACAGCATTTAAACCTTCCATGCTTCCTTTCCATTAAGATTAAATACCTACTTTGAACCAGATTGAAATGTCTTGGATATAAAGCAGTAATTTTATATCTAAACTTTATATTAATTTGTATTTGTTTCTTGGGGATATTAAAAAGATAAAATTTTATAGCAAACAATACATTTACCCAAATTTTGTGTAATGAAAGCAGCATAGCATAAAATATATACTAGCATTTCACATACACCCATGGTATATTAAGGAACTGAAAACATGTTAACATTCGCAAATCTATTTTAGAACTAGAGTTGAAGACTTCATTCAAAGGGCTTTGGACACACACACGTCTGGCAACACTCCTGGGGAGCAGTTCCAGTCCAGAAACATATTCCCAACCTGGAACGCTGCCGAATGAAAGATTACTTTAAAAGAGCTTACGACAGTGATTTATATTCAATAAAATAACATATATAAAGGGCAAGGCATATATATTCAATAAAAATTAATTTTTTACTCTCTTCCTTTGGTTAGATTTACACACACAACACATATTCTTAATATATAATATATATATTTACTTACTCATAAGGATATGTGTGTAAACATATACACATATATAAATATTCAATAAAGTCTTAAATTGCATTTCCTTAAAAAGTTCCTTTTGAGGGGGCACCTGGGTGCCTCAGTCAGTTAAGCGTCAGCCTTCAGCTCAGGTGGTGATCTCAGGATTGTGTGCTAGGGCCCTGTCAGGCTCCACCCTTGTCTGTCTCCCTCTGTTCCTCCCCCACCTCTCCTCCCCTCTCTCAAATAAATATTTTTTTTTTAAAAAACCGAACGCAATGAACTTAGACAAAATGGTAGAAGCACATTTGGGTTAAGAATGATCTACTACAGTTAAGAACACAGGGTTTTGGAAGAACACAGTGTTCCAAGTCCCAAAGGCAGGGTCTGGATGTTATGCCAATTAGGTTTTAAAAAACCGTCAAAGAGCAACAAGAACCAAAAATAAAGCAACAACACAATGAGTATCTTCTGTAATATCAGCTGTTTTAGCCCTCCTCTGCACATACAACTCTGCAAAATTTGAAACACAGTCCTGCCAGAGAGTCATTACCTAATTTCCCATCATATCTTCTGCCAGAGGGCAGATAAAGTAACTGCTACCCCAAAAGAAACAGAGGCTCAGCTCAGTCCCACAGGGAATCCAAAATGTATTAACTATATTAGCTAACACTTATGTAGGAATTAGATGCTTTTCACAGATGTATTTAATAATTCATCAAGATGACAAATGAGAATAAAATGAGTGAACAGACTAGAAAAAAGTCACAAGGACTGTTCAAGTAAAAATCAGAATTAAAATTCAACTCAGTAGCATCTTTGCCTTCCTAATTTAATAGCTTAGAGCACTGTAATTTTCCATAAAAACAATTATCAGGTCCATTTTACAATTCATGATCAAATTATTCTGGAAAAGAGTTCGGTTATCTACTAATTAATTATACACAAAGAAGGATGGAACTAACATCTATTAAACATTAGGTATTTTGCTAAGAGTTTTACATGCATTACTCTCATTTACCTTGAGATTATTATAATAACTCGTATACAGAGGAGAAAGTGAGGACAGTAGAAACAAGATTCAAACACAAACCTCTGCCTCCAGCCTCCAAAGTCCATTTTTCCCTATACCCTAGTCTACTATAGTACTCTCTCTCCAACCATGAGTTTATGTTCCTGAAACCCTCCTCCCTCAAAATAAATACATGCATACTCATAAAAGATATTACTGTTTTACAATTACTAGGCAGCAGTGATCAAAGCAATACAAGGGAACCATAAATACTACAGTATTGCCTTCAGAGATGTGGAAGCCTACTTGTTCATTCAGAAACGTTAGTGAAAGGAGGGCATCTGCTACTGGAGAGTGAATTAACTGGTCCAGTTTTCTTGATGAGTTAGAAGAGCTTTACAAATGTCTTCAATCATGAAAGCCACAGGCACACGAAGCCAGAACTCAGGAAGGGAGCAACGGAGAGAACAGACAGTAGTAATGAGGGATGGGGCTGGAAAGGCAGGTCAGGGTCAGAACAAGGAAAGCCCTGAAGGTCCCCAGTCTTCAAGAACGCATTAATCCGCATTCTGTGCTATGACAGCACCTTGGCAATGTTTCTAACATTTTTTTTTCCACTGAGTAGAAAGTACACACGGGTTCTGCCCCTTGACAGGTGAGTTCCACTAGGAAAGAAGACTTACGATCATTTCTGAATTCACACAGCCTAGGGCAGTGCCTGGATGAAAGGGGCTGCTGTTACAAGGCTTAGCTCGCTGGCAATGCAAAAGCTCCAAAGATGGGCGAGAGAGTGCGCAGATTTAGGGAGACAAATCACGGGCCCCCAGAGGACTCTTCAACCTAGGTTTAAGAATCGAAGTTTGAGGTCTAAAAAGATCAAGAAAAACCTATCATCTCCCTAAGAAAATGCAAGCAGAGAGCTCTTTCTCTCCTCCTCTCCGGAATTTTCCCTTCCTCAGCCTGGCAATGAGTAGTTCGGGGTGGACCGCATCAAAGCCCTGGTGACCGCAGCACATTTATTATCCTGGGAGGGTAAGGGGCAGCTTGAAGAGCTGCAGGAGCCACATCCACCTCCCGAAGGAGGAGGGAAGAGCGGGTACCCGGCGAGCAAGCCGGCTCTGGGATTTCATCAGACTGCACCAACCCGGTCCGCCGCTAGGATCCCGACGCGCACGGAACGCTGCTCATTCAGAGCCCTTCCCCACGCGCCCCAAAGCATATCCTCTGCTTGGCCAAGCGGCTCCGCAACACCGCCAAGGGAGGCCCGCAGGTTCTGGCCGGCAACCTCCGCACTGTCCCACGTAGTAAATCCGGGAGCGCCAGAGCCCGCCTGCGCCTTCGCTCCGCACGGTGGGCCCCGTCCCGCCCACGGACTGGCCCCGAGAGAGGGCGACGCCCCGGGGCTGCGGAGACCGGCTCCCTCTGAAAGGCGGGCTCCGGGCATCAGCCCGCCCCATAGAGCGAGCGCTCAGGTCGCAGACTGCAGCCGCGCTCGGCTGCCACGTCGCCCCGTCACCGTCCGGGACTGAGATGCTCAGCAGAACGTCCCTCGGCGCCCCTCCGGAGCCCGGGCGGCACCCCACCCTCTGTTCCCCTCGGCTTTCGGCGCTGATCCAGCTCCCGGACCCCCTTACCGAACTACCGAAAGGTGGAAGGGGCGATGACGGAGGCGGCAGCTCTGTGCGGGCCGGAGCAGCCGGGTGGCCAACGTGGACACGACGGAAACAGCAGCCATGACCCGCGCCGAGGTCCGCGCCAGGAGAGAAGCGCGCGCGCGGGTCGCGCGGTTATACTGCGGCCGCGTGGCAGGCCCCGCCTCCCGCCCGCACCCATTGGCCCCTTCCTAGGAAAGCCCTGCTTGTGATTGGAGCAAGAAGAGCCGGCGGCGAGGCCCTGGAAGGCTCAGAAGCCGCCGTAGCCTGCAGAGATTGGCGGAGGAAGGCAAGCCCCTGCGGGACGCCGCGGGTGTCACGGAAGCCTGGCTGGCCCGAGTGAGAGTTGGTTCATTCATTGCTTGAACGCGCCTACTGTGTGCCAGGCAGCGTAAAAAGTGGATAAAAAGACAAGCAGACAGAAAAATGATGGAGTTAGAAAGAAACCATTTGGCAAAATCATAGGAAAAACAGATCACCGTGGATGTCAAAACGACTGGATGAGGAACAGGGTATGTACTTACCAGGTTGCCAGATCTTGCAAGTAAAAATACGAAACACTCAATTAAATTTGAATTTTAGAGAAATAATTTAGGAGGAGGCGTCATATTTGTATTAGGGTAGTATTCGATGGTCATCTGCGATTAAAATTAAACTGTATTTTATCTAGCTACTCTTTTTGCATAGTGTCAAAGTATCTCTCCCACAAAATACTTATTAATAGTAAAGGGGGGAAATTGTAAATTTACAACAGGGAAGCCTGAAAGTCATGACCTTAAATGAGTGATCAAAGTTAATACCACCAATAATGGAACAAACACGCGTTATCATGAAGAGGACACATCACTTCATAACTCTTCACAAGTCTGAAAATTGAATGAAGTGATTTTTTCCTAAACCATTAAGCCCCCTAAAAACTATTAAAGATTTTTCACTTACACACTGAGAAGAGAGAACACAGACCTGGAATATTAAAACGGCCTAGGAAAAAACCATAGTCCTGAAATTTTGGAAGATACTAGTGGATCTTAATCTAATCACAAGGAAATATCAGACAAGCCCAAACAGAGTTATTTTACAAGACAAGCAGCCTATACTCTTTGAAAAATGTCAAAGTCATGAAAAAGCATGAGGAACTGTTCTAGATTTAGAGAAGTCTCGACATGACAAATGTAATGTGTGATTTGGAACCAAAAAATTTATCTTTCTTTCTCTTTATTTCATTTTTCTTTTTCCTTTCTCTTTGCTGTAAAGGATATTACAGGGCAATTGGCAAAATATTAATAGAGTCTTTAGATCAGCTAATAGCATGGTATCAGTGTTAATTTCTTGCTTTACCTAGCCATATTGTGGTTACATAAAAGAATGTACTTGCCTTTAGAAATAAAGAAACATCATGTCTTCAAATGCTTCAGAAAAAATATCTATATATATTAAAACATAGCATAATATAATACAGTTGACCTTTGAATAACAGGGGGGTTATGAGTGCACACTCCACATAGTCAAAAATCCTCATATCACTTTTGACTCCCCAGAAACTTCACTAATAATACCCCTACTGTTGACCAAAAGCCTTACTGATAATATAAACACTCAATTAACATATATTTTATTCTATATGTATTATATCCATACAGTTTTTTTACAATAAAGTAAGCTACAGAGGGACGCCTGGGTGGCGCAGTCAGTTAAGCATCTGGCTTCGGCTCTGGTCAGGATCCCAGGATCCTGGGATTAAGCCTAAACTGGGCTCCCTGCTCAGCAGGAAGTCTGCTCCTCCCTCTACTCCTCACCCCACTCATGTGCTCTCTCTCAAATAAGTGGATAAAATCTTAAAAAAAAAAAAAGAAGAAGAAGAAGAAGAAAGAAAAAAAAAGTAAGGGACACCTGGGTGACTCAGTTGGTTAGCATCTGCCTTTGGCTCAGGTCATGATCCCAGGGTCCTGGGATTGAGCCCCACATCAGGCTCCTTGCTCATGGGGAGCCTGCTTCTCCCTCTGCCTCTGCCTGCCACTCTGCCTGCCTGTGCTCTTTCTCTCTCTCTCTCTCTGTCTGACAAATAAATGAATAAAATCTTAAAAAAAAAAAGGTAAGCTTGAGAAAATAAAATGTTATCAAGAAAATCAAGGAAGAGAAAAATACAGTTCTAGTACTGTACTGTATTTTTATCGAAAAAATTCTACATGGTGTACCCAAGCAATTCAAATCCATGTGGATCAAGGGTCACCTGTATAAATACCAGTTTGTTAAGGATGTCATAACAGAGTATCACAGACGGCTTAGCTTAAACACCAGAAATTTATTTTGTCCCAGTTCTAGAAGCGGGAAGTCCATGATCAAAGTGTTGTCAGGGCTTTTTCTCTTTTGAGGCCTCTCTCCTTGCCTTGCATTGCCTGCCTTCTCGTTGGCCTCACATGGCCTTTTCGCTATGGCAGTACACCTCTGTTGTCTCTCTCTGGTAACTTAATTGCCTCTTCTTATGAGGACACCAGTCAGACTGGATATGGAGCTGCCCTAACCACCTCATTTTAACTTCATTACGTTTTTAAAGGCTCTATTTCCAAATACAGTCACATTCTAAGGTACTGGGATTCAACAAATTAATTTGGGGAAAGGCACAATGCAGTCCGTAACAATGGATTTACATAAAGAGAAACTGATAGACCATATGCAAATGTAACATATCAACAACTAGGAACTGGGTGAAGAGCGTTCCAGCTTTCTGTGAATTTATCCTGCCGCCTTCCTATGGGTCTGAAATTATTTCAAAATTAAGAAAGAAAAAGACCAGTGAGGCACCTGGGTGGCTTAGTCAGTGAAGCAGCGGACTCAGTTTTGGCTCAGGTCATGATCTCAGGATCTGGCTCTGTGCTCAGTGGGGAGTCTGCTTCAGGATTCTCCCTCTGCCCCTCCTCCCACTTGCTCACACTCCCCGCCTCCCAATAAATAAATAATTCTTTAAAAAAAAAAAAAAAAGAACAAGTGAAAAAAGAAAAAGACCAATAAGAGTTCTACCCTCATGGTGCTTGGGGATTAGGCGGCATACGGTGAACAAGAAAGTAAGAAAAAAAATTTGGTACTGAGAACCTTCAAGATATCAGATGTGAATGAATGGTATTGTGGAAGGATATAAAAACATCAAATAAAATGCAAACTCAGACTGACAGGATTTCTAGCCCAGTGGGATGGAAGACAAATCTAGTTAGTTGAATGGATAAGTGATATTGGTGTGCCGAGAGGGCCCCGGGAGCTTAGCGTAGGGCCCTAACTCATGGCAAATTCCTACCAGAATTGCCTCTGTGGCTGCAGTGAAAGTGTAGGTGGGGAGAAAGAAGCCGAGGAATATGTCCAGCCTTTCTGGCAGGGACTTTGACAGGGAAAAAGAGCCCTGGAGGTTCACAGGCAGTACATTCTTGCTCGTAGAAAGCTGGGAGGGGGGCACCTGGGTGGCTCAGTCGGTTAAGGATCTGACTCGGTTTCAGCTCAGGTCGTGATCTCATGAGTAGTGGGATCAAGCCCAGAGTGGGGCTCGACACTCAGCAGAGAGTCTGTGTGAGAGGTTCTCTCCCTCTGCCCCTCCCCCTACTCATGCTTGCTCCCTCTCTCTTTCTCAAAAATAAATAAATCAGAAATTTAAAAAAAGGGCGCCTGGGTGGCTCAGTGGGTTGGGCCTCTGTCTTCAGCTCGGGTCATGGTCCCCGGGGTCCTGGGATCGAGCCACACATCGGGCTCTCTGCTTGGGGGGGAGCCTGCTTCCCCCTCTCTCTCTTCCTGCCTCTGCCTACTTGTGATCTCTGTCTGTCAAATAAATAAATGAAATCTTTAAAAAAATAATAAATAAATAAAAATTTTTTAAAAAGGCATCTTGTGTTTGGAGAATATTAGCCTCAGAATTTCCAAGATTTAGGTTCTTTCTTGTCTTTTGAACTGGGTGTCCTTCAGTGTAAGGGGTTCCTCTGTATCTGGGGGAGTCAGTGTGGTACCCAGAAATAAATGCAATTCAGTTTTTTTCTAATTTCCTTATTTTTTTCAAAGATTTTATTTATTCATTTGAGAGAGAGCATGAGCTGAGGGGAGAGGCAGAGGGAGAGGGCTCCAAGCCCAGGAACCAGAGGCCATGGGTGACCTGAGCCAAAGGCAGATGCTTAACCATCTGAGTCACATAGGCACCCCTAGAATTTTAAGAAGTAAGTAAACCTGACGTATTTGGCAGGAAAGGAAAGGGGACAGGAAGTGAGAGGTTGGGGAAGAAGAGTACTATGTTCGTAGACTATTAGCCACATGCCAGTAACTGTGCTAGATCCTTCCCCTACATTTGCTCACATAAATCATTCCTGTGACATCATTCTGTTATTCTCTTAACGGAAGAGACAAATTCACAAATTTAAAGTAATTTGCCCAGGATCACCAGCTTGTAATGGCAGTGCCAGGATTAAACATAGGTATATCTTCATCTAGGACCAATGCTCTTCCAATGTCTATTGCTGTTGTGTTAAGTCAGACGGAAGACAGGGCATCTGGCAGAATGTAGTGGCTGGCATGTAGAACAAGGAATCCTGACAAGGCAACAGAACATTTAAGGACATGATTCTCCCAGAAGCTTATACTCTAACAATCCTTCCTTTGTTTCCCTTTCTTCTTTGTCTTCTTCTTCTTCCTTCTCCTTTTCTTTTCTTTCTTTCTTTCTTTCTTTTTTTTTTTTTTTTTTTTTTTTTTGTTTGGCCATCTAAAAAGAACTGATTAAACTTTTACCATTTGCAAAAATGTTGTATGATTTTTTTTGGTTGTTTTTAAATAGAGATGATAGGGTCTCCTGGGTAGCAGTGGGTTGAGCGTCTGTCTGCCTTTGGCTCAGGTCATGATTGAGCCCCACTTCGGGGTCCCTGCTCAGCAGTGAGTATGTTTCTCCCTCTGCCGCCTGCCTGCTTGTGCACTTGCTCTCTCTCTCACAAATAAATAAATAAAATATTTAAAAAAACAATAGCGATATGGGGCGCCTTGGAGGCTCAGTCAGTTAAGTAGCTGCCTTCAGTTCAGGTCATGATCCCAGGGTCCTGGGATTAAGTCCCACATCGGGCTCCCAGCTCAGCG